CCAGAGTAGTGGGGAGGCCAGGAGTCAAGGTGATCAGTAAGATCTCTGACTTAGTATAGTTTATCTTAAAGTAGGAAACCAGGCCAAAAGCTTTCAGTTCTGCCAGTAGGCTAGGCAATGAGACAATAGGGGCAGTAACGTGAAATAGGATGTCATCTGCGTATGCTGAGAGCTTATGCTTCACATTGATTAGCACATATCTTCCAAAGCAGGGGTTCCAAGACAAAGCCATGAGCCTGTATTAACCTGTTCACTCTTTGGACATACTACAAATGGTTCCTGTTGCTCAGTGTTACAAGCTGCAACAAAACATTCAACATTTTCACTGCTTGACACATGTCCACGTAATCAAAAATCATAAATTCTTCCCATGGATATCAATGTATCACAAACACTCTTATGATATTCACTGTTTATGATCCCTAAACAGTAAAGGTCATAAATCACAGATGTTGTTATAAGCTAACAACAGGACTCAGTCAACACAATTTATTCAGCATGTAGTTCCTCATAAATACACTATATTGCCAAGAGTATTGGGATGCTTGCCTTTACACGCACATGAACTTCAATGGCATCCCAGTCCTAGTCCGTAGGGTTCTTCAGTATTGAGTTGGCCCACCTTTTGTAGCTATAACAGCTTCAACTCTTTTGGGAAGGCTGTCCACAAGGTTTAGGAGAGTGTCTATGGCAATGTTTGACCATTCTTCCAGAAGCGCATTTGTGAGGTCAGGCACTAATGTCGGATGAGAAGGCCTGGCTCACAGTCTCCGCTCTAATACATCCCAAAAGTGTTCTTTTAGAATGCGGTCAGGCTCTGTACAGGCCAGTCAAGTTCCTCCACCCATAACTCTTTATGGACCTTTATGTCTTTATGGATCTTGCTTTGTGTACTGGTGTGCAGCCATGTTGGAACAGGAAGGGGCCATCCACAAACTGTTCCCACAAAGTTGCATGAAATTGTCTAAAATGTCGTAGTATGCTGACACCTTAAGAGTTCCCTTCACTGGAACTGAGGGGCCAAGCCCAACCCCTGAAAAACAACCCCACACCATAATCCTCCCTCCACCAAATCTTACACTTGACACAATGCAGTCAGGCAAGTACCGTTCTCCTGGCAACCGCCAAACCCAGACACGTCCATCAGATTGCCAGAGAAGCATGATTCATCACTCCAGAGAACATGTCTCCACTGCTCTAGAGTCCAGTGGCGGTGTGCTTTACACCACTACATCTGACGCTTTGCACTTGGTGATGTAAGGCTTGGATGCAGCTGCCCGGCCATGGAAACCCATTCCATGAAGCTCTTTATGCACTGTTGCTGTGCTAATCTAAAGGCCACACATATTTTGGAGGTCTTTAGCTATTGACTCTGCAAATATGGACTTATTGCACAGGCGGCAACCTATCACGGTACCACGCTTGAATTCACTGAGCTCCTGAGAGCGACCCATTCTTTCACAAATGTTTGTAGAAGCAGTCTGCATGCCTAGGTGCTTGATTTTATGCACTTGCGGCCATGGAGGTGATTGGAACATCTGAATCCAATGATTGGGGGGGTCCCAATACTTTTGGCAATATAGTGCACGGAATGAAAGAAAAAACGCTTCCCTATAAAGCTGCACATATCTCACACACCTTTTTGTTAGGCTGTGGGCATATTCCATGTTTTCCATTAGTGTGACTATTATTTTATGGACCCCCCCGACAGCACTAGGACTTTCAAATTTCTAAAAGAATCCCAGAACAACCCTAGAGCTGCAATTTTCTACTTTTTACAATAAAGCAGTAAGACTCTTTACAACTCACCACTTCTGATGCACGTTTCACACTAGTGTGGTTTTGTGGAGCATGGTGCAGCATGGCAGCCCATTCATTTAAATGGACTGCTGTGCCTCGCAAAACGCAGGAAAAAGGTCCCTGCACCTTTCCAGAAATTGCAGCCCTTGCTGAGAACGGCATTACAGTACAGTTGCCAGTGCGGATGCGATTTCCAGTGCCATTTTGTGTGTGGGTGGTTGCATCTGCAGGACAAAGTGCGGGTCCCGTAGCAGCTTTCTCCCGCACTAGTGTGAACCAAGCCTGAAGACATTTACTCCAGAGACCACACTTAATAGGCAAGATTTCTATCATTATATATCCCTAATTATTCATCTCTAGCCCCCCCCTCCAATTATTCTCTGATATGGAAATAGATCTAGGACGCCCTCTGACAAGAGAATGGCAGGAAATTCAGTCTAACACAGATGAAAGCTCCTTTCTGCCTGCAAAACTAATTATACAGTTCTCAAAAGTGCTACCTTGTTCCAACATGCATTGCTAAATTAGTGCCTGGTTATTACCCCCTTTGCTTAAGGGATTGTAACACCAAAGACACAATCACATATACAGTATCTGGTGGAATTGTCCAAAAGAGCAAATGCTTCTGGGTGAGAACATGCCATTTAATATATACACCATTTAGTAGATCTATACAGTATATAAAGATTCCATGCTGATTCAGCAACTCTGTTCTGTCTGCTGTCTTCTCAGAACATATGCAGTGGAACAGAAACAGAGCCTTATTGATGCCCCTCTCTTTGCTAGTCTGAGCTCTGCTGTAAAAGGGTTGAGAGGAGGCAGATTGAAAGACAGAATAAAGCGATCAACCATAACAATATGACCACTGACTGGTAAAGTGAATAGCATTAATTATCTTGTTCCAATGGCACATGAAAGTAGGTGGGATGTATTAGGCAGCAAGTGAACATGTTGTCCGTGAAGTTGATTTTTTTGAAAGCAGAAAAATTGGCAAGAGTAAGGATTTGAGCCAAATTGCAATGGTTAGACAAGTGGGTCAGAACAATTCCAAAACTACAGAACAAAAGGTTTGATAAAGAAGCAGACAGCTTTGAAATGTGTTATCCTATGTGAGAGAAGTCTCTTGGCATCACTCCCAGTGGCAAACACAGTGTGGCCATCTTTTCAGTTGGTTTGCCTTTTCTTCTTTGCACACAGCAAGGTCCGGAGATGTTTCCTTCCCTGGCTTACTGGTGTTCCTGTCCCTGGCATGACTGCATCCATATCGTATGAGGAATTTGTTGTTTTGTAAAGTTTGGTTGGACAGCTCTTGTGGGATGTTCCTAGTTTGCAGCGGTCAGGACCGAACCAAAAGTGGTCCAAGGAAGGAAAACAGGCAAACTAGTGACAGGGCCAAGGCTCACTGATGCACGTGGAGAGCAAATGCTGTTCTGTGGAGTCTGATCCAATAGAAGAGCTAATATAGCTGAAATTGCTAAAACAAAATTAATTCTGGTTCCTGCAGACCGGTCAGGGTGCCCATGCTGACCTATGTCCACAGCCAAAAGCACCTACAATGGACACCTGAGCATCAGAACTGGACCATGGAGAAATGAAAGGTGGTCTGGTCTGATATATTCAAGAATGGTTTGAGAAACACAATGAGTTTGAGGTGCTGACTTGGCTTTCAAAATTCTGCAGATCTCAGTCCAATCAAACATCTGTGGGATGTGCTGGAAAAACAGAGTATTTTGGGGACTCCCAAGGATACCCCGGTTAACAGGAACCCTCTAAATTTTAATGCCAGACTCTATCCTTCCTAGCTTTGGGTCCAGCAAGCCAGTGTGCCCCTCTGAGACTAGTTTCAAAGGTTAAACGCAAAGTCTAATACTGGAATCAAAGAAACTGGTTATCTTAAAATTGATTTTAAACGTCAGTTTCTCCCCCTCTGGTGGTGATTTTCCAAACCCAAAAGCAGCCTCCAAAATGTAAATTGGAAGGAACGTTGTGCTGAGGTTTCCAGGCACTTCAGATGTGGGAATGTACGTCATTGTGGTGCATTGACAGACCATCCATAATGAATAAGCTGCCTTAATACATGTGTAATAAAGGTACCACAGCAGCTGTTGTAAGTGACACACTCCAAACCACCACAGCACGCAAGCATCTTACCAGCTGCATGGGATCTCTAAAAGGTAAGAGATTAAATAGTGCTTTGGACAAGCCAATGATGGTAACCAAAGCCTTTAAGCCCCTCCAGTTCGGTCACTCCCAATTAATACCGCATGAGATTGAAAAAAAACAAAGGGAAAAATCCGTTGTATAAATGTGTAAAACAAGTAAAGTTACATATTAGTATTATTACACTTACATAGTGGGGAGACTAGAGAGTAGCAATGCGAAAAAGCCACCGTCTATCCTCCGGTGGACATGATAATGTCACGGACCAGGCCTCCCAATGCGTTTCGTCAGTAGGCACACATTATCAGGAAAAGAGGGCTTACTAAATTGCACCACGACGTGCCTATAGACAAAATAGCATAAAAACGTGAACATTAGCTAGAATGAGTCAATGGGTAGTAATGAGTGAAATTGATACGTTTCATTACTCTGAAAGGTTGGCCAAAGTTCGAGGGTCTTGCTGAAGTGTTGCCACTTTGGAGAAATGCATGGATTCTAAGAAGGAAGGCAAAATACATGTGGTTTTTGGTGGTCTATAAAAATGCGCCTTATATGGCTTTCGGGGTTACAAACACTCCCTTCACCTATTCTGGACCTATGTTTCTGGAAAAAAAATGGTTATTTGTTTATTATTTATTTATTTAATGGTTATATTACATTGTTGTCACATAAAGTAAAAAACAGTGAAAAAGCAAAGTAAAAATGTACATCAGTACAGACATACCAATCAAATACAAAAAAAAAAATATGCAAAGAACACTAAATTAAAGAAAACTATTCCATGTACACAAAAAATAAAAGTGCATTGTCAGGGGGGTTGTCCATGAAAACCTACCCATTAAAAACCTACGTCCATAGTAAATGTTTTTTTTTTAATCTATACGACGAAGGAGAGCGCTTAAGTGAGGAGTTGAGCAATATTTAAAAAAGCAATGTTTAATAAAAAAAAAAAAAAAAGAGTTGGGGAATAAAGAATTTTCATGGCAGAAGGAACCCGAGGAACATTGGTAATACTCTCCACACTTACAGATGATGGATACCAAAGTGACATGGAACCAGGGGCGGACTGACAACTCATGGGGCCCCCGGGCAATAGGGGATCATGGGGCCCCTGTGTCCTCGCCCACATCCAAAAAAGCCTATGAAAAAGCCAATGAAAGGTACCAGGGGCATCTCATGGGGCCCCCTACTGACCCCGGGCCCTCGGGCAGTAACCGAGTGCTCAAATGGTCAGTCCGCCCCTGCATGGAACATACAGTCTGAACACTCTGAACATTTTATACAAAACTGCATCTGCAGGATGGGTGTAAAATAGAGACCCTGACTACTCATAGCTGACATGGTAAAAAGTGGAAAGAGATGACCTCAGACTCATCGCTCATTAAAAAAGCACTTTGAGAGCATGCTACAAAAAGATGGCAACCACCGCAATTTCTAATTAGCTTAGAAGCAAGGTGCAGATTGAAGGGCAATGCACATCACAAACAAAAATTTCCCAGCACACTTACCAGCGCCCAGTGCCCACATAATGGCTCCTCTGCATTACTATGTTCCTGAGAATTGAGAATTTTTAGACAGGGTCAGTTTTTTTTTTTTTTGCAGGCTAGCTGGTGAGTGTGCTGGGATATTTATGTTTGTGATGTTTGTTGCCCTTCCACATGCACCTGTAGCACTACCAGCTTAGGGATTGCCGATGAATTGGGTCCCCCTATAGTCCTGCACAGCCAGTCATTCAGCATTTTCCACACAAGCTTTCATCCAGAAATGGAAGCCAGTCTTGAGGGTTGATTTTGTTATTTTATTGTGGAGATTAGAATTTGGATGTGGTAAGGGATGCCCAAGGGAATTGAAATCTGAGGACAACTTCCTGAGCTATTCACAAGCTTCTCTTCTCTGATGCAGTCTCTGTTAGAGTGCTAGCCAGCATCTTCTGGTGTACCACCCCAGACCCTAGATGAACTCCTCTTCTCCCAGCAATCTGGAGACTCTCTTCCTGAGCAGGGGATCTCACTGCTGTTCTTTTAAATGGGGTGAACAGTCACTAGTAGGGCGCTAATCTGGTTTCCCACCAGAATGCTCCTTCCACTATCCACCCAAGGGGTGCATGTGTACTCACTCAAATCCTATCCTGTACCACTTGCGGTATGGCTGGTGCTACCAGTCCTATCAGCTGGACTGCTCCCTCGCTGCCATACAGGTGGTCCTTGCTCAGGGGGCCAGTGAGCTTTGAGTTTATTGCCTTTCCAGCTCCAGGTTTGCAGGCAGGTCCCATCCCACTAGGCCTCTTGGCAGTCTTTCTCCTCCAGCCTCACATTTTCCTCCAAATCTCTACACCTCACCCTCCACTACTGAGCAGGGAGTCCCAGCCCCTTGCCAAGCCTTCTGTTGGGGATTGGTTGAGGTCCCTCTAGAGTGCAGCCAGCCACTCCTCAGATCCACCCACTGTCTCCAAGGCCCTCCTCCAAAAGCTTCAGAGCAGAGGGAAATTCCAGAGGGGCTGGCCTGCAGAGTCTCTCAGCCCTGACCACAATCTGACCCCTCTGGCTATCACACCTGAACTGATAATCAGCTCCTGACTAGCCATTAGGGTTTAGCTCCACCTAGCTAAACTAGGAGGGTGCCACACACCTTAGTGCAAAGGCTAGTTATAAATTGGGGTGGTTGCCATCTTCTTGTATGGCTTGTTTGCTGACTTGGTGAGGGGACACACGTGTTCCGGTGCCTTTGAGGATTGGGCTCCCTCCAACAAATCTGCCCTTAATTTATCTACTGCTACATATACTCCAACTTGGAGACTCTTAGAACTATAAAGTTAGGACTGCATTATACAGAGGAGCCTTGATATGGGCACTGTGGCATACACATATATTTGCAAATGTGTACAATGAAACCCTTGGTTTTTAGCGTGAATTGTTAAACAGGGATAATTTGGATTCTTTGCAAGCTAGCTGGAAATGGTGCCTGGAAATGTTTGTGATAACAAGCATTTAACCCTTGAAGGGCAGGATAGTTCCAGCTCAGGGTTCAGCTTTAGGGCTCACTAGGGTTCAGTGGTGCTGCATGTCTCTGCCATAGATGCTGATAGAGGTGACTACTCTAACTCCGATTCCTGTACCTTTGCCATGAGGTGTCTGCGCCATGGCTTACAAAAACACACCATCTATTACATAAAGACAGGGCTTTTTTTCAGCAGGAACATGGAGGAACACAGTTCTGGTACCTCCAGTACTGAATGTAATGGCAAGGGGTGCTGGGATATGCTGGAGGGTCTATTGAGCTGATTGCTGGGGGATCTATTGTAGTTGAAGGGGATCTATTCTTGCGTGGGGGTCTGCTTTGCTGGGGAGGTCTGTTGTTGCTGGTGGGGAATCTATAGCTGCTGGGGTGGAGGGATCTTATGTTGCTGGGGGTCAATTGTTGCTGGGAGGGATCTACTGTTGAGGGAGAGGTCTGTTGATGATTGCTGCTAGGGTGGATCTGTTGTTGCTGGGGTGCTATTTTGTTGAGGAGGGTCCATTTTTGCTGGGGTAGTTTATTGTTCCCAGGAGGATATATTGTTGCTGGGATGGTATATTGTTTCAAGGGAGGTTTATTGTTGCTGGTGGGAAATCTATTGTTCCTGGGGGAGAGGGGTCTTATGTTGCTGGGGGTCACTTGTTGCTGGGAAGTGTCTACTGTTGTGGGAGAGGTCTATTGATGCTGACTGCTGGGAGATCTGTTGTTGTTGCTGGGGGTCAATTGTCGATGGAGTGGTGTTTTTTTGTGGGTGGTTCATTGTTGCTGGGAGAATCTATTGTTGTTTGGGGGGGTCTATTGTTGAGGGGATCTATTGGTGCTGGGGGGGGGATTCTATTGTTGCTAACTGTAGGAGATCTATCTTACAAATTTTTTTATATCATTAAAAATATTACTTAACACCACAAAATGATACTTCGTTCTGTACCAAAAGGGGTGGTACTGGGAGGTGGGTAGGTGATGGAACCAAGAAACGGTGCTCAGAGGTGGGTATGGGGGTGGATGACTCATCCCCAGTGAGACTAATACAGTGATAAGTGCTAATATAAAGCACTGACACTGTACTAATGACATCTGGGGTAATCAAAGGGTTAACTATGTGCTGTTTTACTAACTGTGCTGTGTGTATTTTACTGTGTAAGCATGCTGCTTTGTATTACTCTGCTATGCAGAGCAATGACAGGGGAGAGATCTGCATTGTTTACATACAGACCTCTTCCTTGTTGCTGCTTCTCAACAATCGCCAGGTGCCAATGGGGAATCTCTGGCCGGGACCCGTCGATCGACAGCTGGAGCTGCACGGGTAGGGTGGCATGCGTACATGTGCCCCCCTACCTGGTAATGCTAAATCATGTATATATACGTGATTTTGCGCAGCCCTGCTGCCTTGTAGCAGTAGTTCTGCTATAGGGCGGTCGGGAAGCTAAACCCTGGATCCTTCATTTACTATATCTCGTCTCCTATAGTACACAGAACATGGAAATGCAAATATTTTAGTAAATATAAACTGCTAAATAACTTTTCTCATCAGCAATGTATAGCAGTCTTGTGACTTCTGTCGGTGTCCAGCAGAGCACTGGTTAACGCTTGTAGGAGGAGTTTTCATTCTCCTCTGTCTTATGAGGCTGCATAACCTCTGACCTTCTGTCTGGACAGTTCTGATTGGTCCTGTGCTGATCACATACACTCCCCCCCACAAAAAAAAAAAAAAACTTTCTAGCACTACACACCGAATTAAGCATGTGCAGTTTGCCCCCAAGTCACTGTGCTATCAGCAGATGGATTTGGGACTGTGGAAGAAGGGGAGGATCAGAGATAAACAAACAGGATCAAACAGCATTTTTACACAATGCACAGGATTAACCCCTGAGGTTCCACAGTGAGTATAAACAAGCATGCTTTACTGCATATACAGACTGATTTTACTGTTGTGGGTTTAGTAACACTTGAACTCCCCGCTGCTATTGGTATGTGACATATGCCGCTGCCAGTAAAAGGATTAAATTAGATTGTACAATCTGCTACATGAAGATTGTGTTGTACATAAATCATATAGCTGTATGGACAGATAAAGCCCCACCATAAAACTGGATGACATTGCAAAGATGCCTATACAGTATGGTTACAGTTTGATTGTACAATCCTTTATAGGTCTAGCAATAATTATGTAGTACAAGGGACTGCCGGAATGGATATAAAGATATAAAGTGTTTAGCTTTGCCCTCACGTTACATAGCTGTGGAAAATCCAAAGTAGACTGCAAAGAGATTGCATGTGTATGGTCATCTTTAGGACAGTGCTTAGATCAGGTAGAACCAGGGCTTTTTTTTCAGCGGGAATGCATGGGAACACAGTTCTGGCACCTTGGAAATTGAATGTACATATTGGCAAGAGATGTGGGGTGTGCTGAAGGATCTATTGATGCTAGCTCATGGGGGATCTGTTGTCACTGGTAGGGTTCTGTTTTTCTGTGAGGGTCTATTGTTACTGCTGGGGGACTATTGTGGCCGAAGAATATATTGGTGAGGGAGAGCTTGCTGGCTACTGGAAGAACTGTTTCTGCTGCTGGGGGGGGGGGTCTAATGTTGCTGGGGTGGATCTTTTGTTTCTTGGGCAAACTTGTGGGTGGCATATTGTTGCTGCAGGGGATCTATTTCTGGGGGGACCTATTGTTTCTGGGGGAGTCTATTGTTGTGTGGGGGATCTACTGTTGCTGTGGTGGGTTCTACTGGTGAGGGAGAGCTTGCTGGCTACTGTAAGATCTGTTTCTGCTGCTGGGGGGTGTCTAACGTTGCTGGGGTGGATCTTTTGTTTTTGGGTGCGATATTTTGTTGTGGGTGGCATATTGTTTCTGAAGGGGTTCTATTTCTGGGGGGACCTATTGTTGCTGGGGGAGTCTGTTGTTGTGTGGGGGATCTATTGTTGCTGTGGTGGGGTCTACTGGTGAGGGAGAGCTTGCTGGCTACTGGAAGATCTGTTTCTGCTGCTGGGGTTGTCTAACGTTGCTGGGGTGGATCTTTTGTTTCTGGGTGCGATATTTTATTTTGGGTGGCATAGTATTTCTGAAGGGGTTCTATTTCTGGGGGGACCTATTGTTGCTGGGGGAGTCTATTGTTGCTGGGGTGGTGTCTACTGGTGAGGGAGAGCTTGCTGGCTACTGGAAGATCTGTTTCTGCTGCTGAGGGGTCTAATGTTGCTGGAGTGGATCTTTTGTTTCGGGGGGAGAAATTTTGTTG